ATACTTATCCCCCCCCCCCCCAAAGACAAAATAAAACTTTCTGCTCATATAACAAAATAAAAGCTGTACCAAGGAATATTTATGTATGTGGAATAGATTTTTAATAAAGAATCACTCAAATGTTTCTCCTATCCCTAATGGTCTTTCTTTTTTGTTATCAGTCAGTTACATAAGTTACTAAGTTATTTAGTCTTTTCTATATTTACATACGTATATTGGTAATTACTAGTGATTAAATTTCATTTATCTTAACTAGTATTGATCCTTTCATGTATTTTGTATACAGACAACCATTTCCTACTGGTGAAAAGGTTAGTTTTACGGGACAGGAGTATCTGTGTTCTAAGTGTATACAAATTCCTGAGGTGATGATACAAGCCAAGGATGAAAATGTTCAAGAAAAACCAAATGAGACTGAAGAGCCATCTGTTGACAGTGGTCAGAGTGAGTAATGATCTTAGTGTATGTCATGTCCTTGGTGAGCTTTCATCATATTGACTGGACATCAGTTAACTAGAACTTACTTCTACAATATAGCCATGCCTTACTGCAGCTGAGATAAATCAACAGCATAGTTTGAAGATAATCTTACAAGTGTTAATCAACAGTATATTTAAATCTTAGTCTTAAAAGTATGACATTTGTAATGTGTTCATCTTATTCTGACAAATGTGACATCTACAATAAATTTAAAATATTAGAATAAAAAAGTTTACAAATTTTATTTCGTACTGTATGGAAGTTCAGTGCATTATTTTAAACATCATAAACTTTAGACTTTTACATTATCTTTCTTTATTGTAGTAGATGACAGAGAGGGTTGTTTTTATGTTGAATTCAACTTTGCGTCATTACTTGGTATGCAGTACGTAGCACAAGAGAGTTCAGTCATCAATAACACTATTCATGGCAGTTGATAGACGGTTAACAATGACATGCTTCCTAAAGAATTCTTAGTGGTGTATAAAGGATTCTTGAGAGAAATAACGTTTTAACTCGAACTGAACATGTAATATGTTGTACTTACAGAATGTGCAGGATGTGAACAGGAGCTTAAAGAGGGGCAGGCACTTATAGCCCTGGAGAAACCTTGGCACATCAGTTGCTTTAAGTGTACTGCTTGTGATGCAGTGTTACATGGTGAATACATGGGGAAGTAAGTGTAGTCAGTAATATTTTAATTTGTGAGTTGTTATTTGAGTACTATATGGAAATTTTAAAGATAGCAAAGTGTTTCCAAGTACACTATATAGCCAATTATACGCAAGACACAAAAGCATATTTGAATGTCCATTGCTGCTATTATATGTTTTAATAATTTTATGCATGACTTAAGAAGTAGAAGAAACAGTTGGCAGGTTTCTTCTTTGTTTGAATGTAATTTAATTCGTGATTACTAAAGTTTTGGCCTAGTGATTAGTTGCCAGGATACAGATCGCAGGGTCCAGGGTTTGAGCCATGGTATGCCACTAAACACTCCCTGCTTTTGAACATTATATCTATGACAGTTCATTTTGGTTAAAAGTAGCCATGTGGGTGCCAGGTTCTACTTAAGTGGTCACTAGCTTTAAATAAAGGATGGCTACACTTGACCTTCAGGGGGTCACTGACCTGGCAATTTAACACACATGATGCATAGAGTGCTAGGTAGGTTGAAAAGACCTTCCCCAATACCTACTAAACTTCCTTATATTTACTATTTAGATATTAATATAGCAGTTTAGGGAATGCTTTTATTAATAGATGGCAGTATTTTTTATAAATGACTATTAAGGAAACATATTGTTCCAAAGTGTTTTTTTTTTTCTTAAGTGAAA